TTCACATCTTATTTTAAGATTACTAAGTATAATTTTCAACCACAATAACTCACGCTTGAGCCATAGCTCGAAATTCAGCCTCAATACTCGATCTGGCAACCACGTCCTGCTTCTTACTCCTCCATGTCACTAGGTTACCACAAAGAAACATACAAATAACCAGTGGTAGATTGACGATCAGTTACGGATCCAGCATAATCAGCATCGGCATAAACTTCTAAAGAGAGATTTCCATTACGCCGGAATAACAGTCCTTTACCAAAAGTGGCTTTAAGATATTGAAGAATTCTTTCCACTGCCTGCATGTGTTTTTCTTTTGGATTATGCATGAACTGACTTACAATACTAACAGCATAAGCAATATCTGGTCTAGTATGAGCCAACTATATCAGTCTCCCAACTAACCGCTGATATTGTCCTTTATCAACTACAGGACTATCCTCTTCATAATTCATCTTATGATTCTTCACAATAGGAGTACTAAAGGGTTTACACCAAGTTTTCCTGCTTCATTAAGAAGATCAATGACATATTTCCTCTGGCTGATAAAAATTCCTTTCTTTGAATGAGCTACCTCTATCCTTAGAAAATATTTCAGTCTCCCAAGATCTTTAATTTCAAACTCAGAGGCTAATCGTGCTTGTAGAAAATATTTCTCCGCAGTATTATCACCTGTTATAATAATATCATCAACATATACAAGGAGCACAGTTAGCTTCCCATCTTGGGAGTGCTTGAAGAATAGTGTGTGATCTTTTTGACTCTGTTTATATCCTAGGGCCAGCATAATCTTAGTAAATCTCCCAAATTAGGCACGAGGAGACTGTTTCAATGCATACAAGGCCTTTTTTAACCTGCAAATTTTATTTCCTCCACCCATAGAGCCAAAGCCAGGTGGGATTTTCATGTAGACTTCTTCTAACTCACCATTAAAGAAAGCATTCTTCACATTAAATTGATTCATATCCCAGTTGTAATGGGCAGCAAGGGACAACAAAGCTCTAACAATATTCATCTTTGCAACTGGGGCAAAAGTTTCTTCATAATCAATGCCATAGGTTTGAGTGTAACCTTTGGCAACTAACTGAGCCTTATATCTCCCAAAAGTACCATCAGAATTATATTTCAAGGCATAAACCCATCTGCACCCTACTATTTTCTTTCCATCAGGTCTATTAACAACCTCCCATGTTTTATTTTTCTCCAAGGTATTCATCTCATCTTGCATGGCTCGAGCCCAATTCTCATCTTTTAATGCTTCATGTACTGATTTTGGGATTGAGATAGAATCGAGTGCTGAAATAAAGCTTTTGTGCTACATAGAAAGGTTAGTAGAAGAGACAAAATGAGAGATAGGGTGTTGGGTGCAAGATCTTTTCCCTTTTCTTAGGGCAATAGGTAAGTCATCAGAGGTACTGGGTAAGCTATCAGAAGCAATAGGAAAATCATTAGGGGCAACAATATAAGGTTCAGAAATAGGAGAAATATTAAGATCAGAAACAAGAGATTCAGGACTTACCAGTGGTTCAGACGATGGAGGTTGCTGGTGAAGCAGTGTGGGCTGCTTTCTACTGTGATATACCAGGTGTCACAATCCTCCGTATATCCGGTGTATCAGATGGGTCAGACACAGAAGAATCAGAAACCGGAGGAAGAAGTGTAGGAGGAAGAGGTGTAGGAGAAGGTATGGAAGGTCCAGACTCAAAGATAGAAGGTGATGAATCTACTGAAGAACTGCTCTCCCCCTGAAGATGAGGACTTGGAAAAAAAGACTCAGATTTATGAAATGTGACATCCATTTTGACAGAATTTCCGACTAGCAGGATGATAACACTTGCAGCCTTTCTTGTCAGGGGCATAACCAAGGAAGATACTTTTGAGAGCCCTAGGATCCAACTTACTACGAAGATGTTTATGAATGTGGACAAAGACAACACACCCAAACACTCGTGGCTGAAGACTCTGCATAGAGGGCCAGAGGGAAAGAATGAAGTCATTGAGTGAATAGGACTTACATTTTCAAGGACCTGAGAAGACAAGCGGTTGATTAAGAAAGCTGCAGAAAGAATGGCATCTCCCCAGTAGCACTTGGGTACATGATTCTGAAAAAGTAAAGCATGAGCAACTTCAAGAAGATGACGATTCTTCCTCTAAGCAACTCCATTTTGTTGAAGGGTGTCCACACAAGTAAGTTCATGAATCATGCCCTGATCTTGGATGAATTTGGAAAGACGCTGATTGACATATTCGGTACCATTGTCGGACCTTAGTCTTTTAATTCTTTTACCAAATTGGGTCTCAATCATTTTATAAAATCGAAAGAATAATCGTGGTACCTCAGGTTTTTCATGCATTAAATAAACCCAGGTTACACGAGTGCAATCATCAATAAAAGAAACAAACCATTTATTACCAGAAGCGTGAGAAACTTTAGAAGGACCCCAAACATCAGAATGATAAAGATCAAAAGGCTCAACACTTTTAATGGTACTAGAAGGAAAAGAGACGCGATGATGTTTAGCAAACTCACAAACATCACAATGAAAACACTTAATGGACTTAGACAAAAATAATGATGGAAATAAAGACTTAAGCAAACGAAATAGAGGATGCCGCAAGCGTTTATGATGGAGCCAAATCAAAGAATCAGTAGTAGCATTAGACTGAGTCAATAAGGTGTGATCCTTAGCATACTTTGTAGAAGATTCTGGCACCAGATAGTACAACCCACCTTGCTCCTTAGCACCTCCAATCGTCTTCCTCGTGGCGAGATCCTGAAAAACACAGTGAGTAGGGAAGAAAGTTACAGTGCAATTCAAATCTTTGGTAATTTTATGGATAGAAAGAAGATTAGTGGAGAGTTTGTGAACATAAAGAACATTTTGGAGATGTAAGGAAGGCTGTAAATATGTTATCGGAGCCCGCAACTGATGTATGTGAACCATCAGCTACGGCTATTGTATGGGTGCCAATAGTAGGGTTATAAGAAAGAAAGGAGTCAGCACAACAAGCCATATTATCAGTAGCACTAGAATCGATAATCCAAGAATGTTTAAAATCAGTACAAGAAGTAAGAAAAGAATGAGTAGTGGAGCTCATACCAGTCATAGCCAAAGTACTAGTACTAGATGACTTACTCAAAGAATCAAGCATAGTCTGAATCCGCTCCAAATCAACCCGGTGAATAGAAATAAATTTCGAAGATGCGCCATTTGAATCCGCCATAATGTTGAGGTGAAAATCACGCAAATGCAAATCCAAATGATGTCTAACCGAAGAATAAAAAAACACAGATCTGGAAAGAGGAAACAAAAATCGAGCAGTTCTGTCCTGGAATAGTTTTTTTTTTTTGCGTGAACAGTACCCGATGAATAGTGAATTGCGTGAACAGTGTCGATGAATAGTACGCGTAATAGTGACGATGAACAGTGATGCGTAAACAGTATTTTTTTTTAAAAAACGTCTGTGAATTGATAGATCTGGAAAATAGAGGAATCAAACAGTAGTCTTCTTGGCCCAAAAAGGTCCCTGAAAAATTTTCGGTAGCGGCTAATGGCGGCGAGAGGCAAACAAATAGGATTCCGCTCTAAAGGCGGCAGTTGCGAAAGCAGAGTTCTCAGGATCGAGAGCTCTAATACCAAGTTGAAAAAAGAGAATCAATCTTATTGATTGTAAAGAACCTTGAGGTCACCACCCCAAAAGCTAGCTCAAAGGGTGGGAGTGTCCAAGGCCTTATAAACTTCACATTAGTTGCACATACAACCAATGTGGGACTATATATCTCAACACGCCCCCTCACACGAGAGCCCATTAGGCTTGAAGAGTGGATGATGCAACAGGCCCAGCCTACCTGTGCTAAGAAATTCCACAAGAGAAAGTGGGAGACGGCGAGGCTCTGATACCATATTGAAAAGAAGTTTCTGTATATAGATATAGAATAATTTACATGAGTGAGTATTTATACAAGAAAGAATCGCTAGGAATGACTAAGCGATGACTAATCAATCCTAATCACAATCAATTCTAATCAATCACAATCAATCCTAATCAATCATAATCAATCCTAATTAATAGGAAATAAAAACAGAGACATGTTTGAATTCTGATTTTCTACATTGATAAAATTGTGTATTACATCTGTACAATTGCTCTCTGTTTAAAGAGACTAAATAACCTAATGGGCCAAGTCCAAAGAAGATTCTAGAATGGAATTAAATAAATAAACAAATAAACAAATACAATTATTTACAACACAGGTAAAAAATCAATTCAACCCAAAAGCTTAAGCTGTTAGGTGAGGCTACATTAATAATTTTATATATCTCTAACAGTGTGAAACTCCTATGAAATTACTTTGAGACAACAAATCCGCAGTTAACATTGCTCGTGATTCAATTTAGCATGAAAAAACCAAACATAGGGCCAAACTTCTGAGGCGCAACAAACTCGTGAGGATAGAATGGCAAAGATGTGCAATTCACGAGTATGTGGTAGGATGTGATAATTAAGTGTATGCTAATCCAAATATCAATAATATCTGGATCTTGCATCCTGCATCCTGCATCAACAGTAATTTAATTATTAATGTTTCTTTAGCAATTTGGTGATTCTATATATTTATTTTTATCCATAAAAGAATAATGAGATAACCATCATATTGGACAGATATAGCATAATCTTGATGTAGAAATAAAATTCATTCTTGGGCCCTAGTTTAAGGCAAGCTGTTAGGTCATGTTGTTAACATTTTCATCATTTTGAATTTTGGTTGTCATTGTGAATGCAGACAATTGCTCTATATGTAATAATGTAGAGCAGCTATTAAAGTCCATCTTTGACAAGCAAATAGAATTTGATGCTTAACATTAAGTGAGACAACCTATTGCAATGATATTATTTCGATAAATGCAAAAACATATAATGCGGCTTATTGCATTGTTATTCTGTCTGATATAATTAAGCTTATCTTAATCATTAATCGTCTTAAAAAAATTTCTCAGATATTAAGAACCCTATTTGAGGTTGTTGTATTGGAGGACCGTGGCAATCAATGGACTCTTAGCAGAGCAATTCTGAGCTTGATTCTAATCAGTGAAGAGGTAATCATTTGACAGTCCTATTGTTATTACATTTCACTCTAAAATGCTGTGTTCATACTGTTTTCTTAAGCTATAAACTCTAATGCATGTTGTTAATGCGAGTCAAAACACATTCTGCACGTACACTATATATGGGGAATTTGGTCCGCCAGTACATTTGGGTAATTATTGTGAATTTGTTCTTCCCTTTCCCTTATATAAGAAAGATTCGATGGGATAGATTATATGGCAGATTCGTTTCCTATTTGTTTTCCAGAAATAGCTCTTTATTTTGAAAGTAATTACTCACATTTGTCTATATATATTATTGTAACACTGTGTACATGAATAATCAAGTATAATATTGAGTATTTCAAATTTTGACTTGGTATCAAAGCTCATGATCTGGGAGCTTGTGCATCTGAAATAAACTCTACCTTAGCCACTGCCTTACAAACAATAACCCCATGATTTCATGATTAATCCAATCCCTTAATACTTGGCATTTTAAACCGGAATCCAGCATATATATTAGTGTTAGTATTAATTACAATGATTCTTTATCAAATATATAATCCTACGTTGGTTCCTGACTAATTCTACAATATGTACATGATATCTTACTCTACCTTAATTACCCTAGATATTGTAATTTATTACTTCCTTGCTATCTGTTCCCTTATTTATTAATGTCTCTTGTTATTGTAAATAAGCCTCTTAGTTTACTGTTGCTATTTATTAGCATTGTTCTTTGTACTCAATATAAATAGGACCTATTGGGTCTCTCAATGAAAATCAATCAATAGTGTTATACAGCAAAACAATCTTTCTTTTTCATCATGGTATCAAGAGCTGGTTAAAATCCAGTCTCTTCCCTGTTCTAACTTCTTTAAGTCTTCCTTCCATTCCTTTTTTTTCGTTTTTTGCCTCTGTCAAGGCCAGAACCCTCACCTAGACACCTCCAACCACAAAACCAAGGCCACCATTAGGTCTAGAACAAAATTCCGAGCCAGCCAACAAAAGACCCGTCGCCGGAAACCCAGCCACGCGCCGCCACGCGCCACCAACATCCTTCAGCTTCGCCGGCGCGTGTGGTCCACGCGCCGCCTTCCCATCATTTTTTTCCGGCTGGTCATACCCCGTTCTGATCGTCTGCCTTCCCACTTCCTGTTTTGAGGGTCAAAATCATATTTGGAGGAATTTTTTTCTGGGTATTGTTGTTAGGAAGACATGGACACTGAAAATGTTGAAAATTCATCTGGAGTTTCGACCGGAACCTCACCCCTTCCCATTTCTTTGTCTTCTGGAGACAACCCAGCAATGCAGATCACCAATCACCGTTTAAACGGTAGAAACTATGTGCAATGGTGTCAATCTGTTAAGTTGTTTATCCAAGCCAAAGGGAAGATGGGGTATCTGGATGGAAAAAAGGTTCAACTAGCAGAACATGAACCTGGCTATGATGCTTGGGTGACTGAAAATGCTTTGGTCATGACATGGCTGACTAATTCTATGGAACCGGATATCAGTCAAACTTATTTATTCCTTGATACGGCTCAAGAAATTTGGGAAGCTGTTAAAGAATACTACTCTGACCTGGGCAATGCCTCTCAGGCTTTTGAACTCAACACCAAGGTGAAAGATTTACGCCAAGGAGGGATGACTGTTACTGAATACTTCCTTGCTCTAAAAACATTGTGGCAAGAAAATCTTTATGATAAAGCAGACCTTCAAGGTTTAGACGCTAATGCAATATTCAAAAATTATATAGAGAAAAGGCGTCTCTATGATTTTCTTGCTGACCTTAATTCTGATCTGGATGATGTTCGTGGAAGAATTTTGGGGCAAAACCCATTACCTTCCATTGCCACTGCCTTTTATGAGGTACGAAGGGAGGAGCTTCGCCGAAAGGTAATGTTGGGTGATAAGGACTCTAAGTCCTCTGATGGGTCTGCCCTTATAACAAAGAATATTGCTCGTCCTTCTGGGGACTCAAAACGTTCTGACCAATGGTGTTCTCATTGCAATAAGGGTGGTCACACCCGTGAAAAATGTTGGGAAATTCATGGCAAACCACCAAACTGGAAACCAAAAGGACAGAACAAGAATCGTGTTAATCAAGTATCTTCTGAAGATAAGGGGGAGGGGTCTCATATCCCTTCAAACCCCGATGGTGTTCTCCTCTCTAAGACCAGTATGAGCAATTTCAGAAATTGATGTCTCAACCTGCTGAGGCAACTAGTCATGTTGCTCAAAAAGGTATGGCATTCCATGTTGAACGTAGTAATCGTTGGATCCTTGATTCAGGAGCCTCTGATCACATGACAGGTAATGCAACCTTATTTTCCTCCTATACCCCTTACTATCACCCGTCACGAATAAGAACAGCTGATGGAAATTTCTCCACTATTGCGGGCAAGGGATCCATTAAACTTTCTGAACATATTATTTTGAACTCAGTCCTTCATGTTCCCTCCCTTACTTGTAACCTCATCTCTATTAGCAAATTTACTGCTGAGTTGCATTGTGTTGCTAAGTTTTCTGCAAATGCTTGTATCTTTCAGGAGCAGGACTCGGGGATGATGATTGGCAGTGCTAGAGAGGAAGAAGGGCTATACTATTTGGAGGAGGATCTTTGTGAAAGGAGGATTTTTTCAAACCACTCTCTATGTTTATCAGATGATTGTAATGATGTTTTGTTATGGCATCGTAGGTTAGGGCACCCAAATTTTGTTTATCTTCAGAAGTTATTCCCTAACTTATTTATCAATAAAAAGCCAAGTTCCTTTCTTTGTGATATTTGTCAGCTTGCAAAACATTCTCGTGTCACTTATTCTCCTAAGAAATATCATGAATCTTCTCCCTTTACATTGATTCATAGTGATATTTGGGGACCTGCTTGTGAAAAAAATGTCTCGGGTGCTCGTTGGTTTATTACTTTCATTGATGATCATTCTGGGGTATGTTGGATATATCTCTTAAAAGACAAGTCTGATGCGGCATCCACTTTTAAAGATTTTCATGCTATGATTCAAACTCAATTCCAGACTCCTATCAAAATTCTGCGAACAGACAATGGCACTGAATATTTTAATTCAGTTCTTGGAGATTACCTAAACCAGCATGGAATTATTCATCAAAGTTCTTGTCCTAACACCCCTCAACAAAATGGGGTGGCTGAAAGGAAAAATAGACATCTAATTGAAGTTGCTCGAGCTCTCTTATTCACGATGCATGTCCCTAAATATCTGTGGGGGGAAGCCATCTTGACAGCTTTTTATCTCATTAATCGAATGCCTTCTCCGGTACTAAATTTTCATTCTCCTTTATCTTGTCTTACTAAATCTTTTTCTTTTTTCTGTGCTCTTTCTTCTCTTCCTCCCAAAATATTTGGCTGTGTGGTCTTTGTACATATTCCTCCACATCAAAGGTCCAAACTTGACCCTAAATCTATTAGATGTGTCTTCATAGGATATCCCCCTAATCAAAAAGGCTATAAGTGTTACTCACCTTCTCTCCGTAAGGTCTTTGTTTCCATGGATGTTACCTTTTATGAGACACAATCCTTTTTTTCCCCGACTTCTCTTCAGGGGGAGTCTACTGGTATGGATGAAGATAAGCCTGGGAAACCAAATGAAGCTGCTGTCTTACCTTGGCCTTTGGAAACAGGGGGAGTTATTGGGAAGGAAACAGGGGGAGCAACTATACCTGAGTCTAATGATCCTCCTGGTCCTTGTGATCCTCCTGGTAAATGGGGAAAATTCTACAGTAGGCGCAAAACACATCAAGAGACTCTAGACTGCCAGGATCCTGACTCGAGTCCTTGCTCTAGCAACCCACTTGAATGCACTAGCACAGCCAACATTGATATGCCCATTGCCCTTCGGAAAGGTACTAGATCTTGCACTGCTCATCCTATTTCCCATTATATCTCATATGAGAAGTTATCTCCAGGTTTTCGTGTTTTCAACACTATGTTAGATAGTACCAGGATACCCAAAAATATCCAAGAAGCACTTGATGACCCAAAATGGAGGAACGCCGTATTAGAAGAAATGGATGCACTTATAAAAAATGGAACATGGGAGTTTGTGACATTACCTAAAGGAAAGAAAACTGTTGGTTGCAAGTGGGTGTTCACAATAAAATTTAATGCAGATAACACAGCATCAACAGGTATAAGGCCAGATTAGTTGCCAAGGGATTTACTCAGACTCATGGGATTGATTATCAGGAGACATTTGCTCCTGTTGCCAAGCTTAACACTATCCGCGTTCTGCTATCTCTTGCCGCCAACCTTGATTGGCCATTGCAACAATTAGATGTCAAGAATGCCTTCTTGAATGGTGATCTACATGAGGAAGTTTACATGGATCCACCTCCTGGTTTTGAAAAAGGGGATGGTTCTGTGTGCAAGTTGCAGAAGTCTCTCTATGGACTTAAACAATCTCCCAGAGAATGGTTTGGGAAATTTACTCAAGCTGTTAAGGGAAGAGGGTTCACCCAAGCTCAGACTGATCACACTTTATTCTTTAAACACTCTGACAAAGGTAGAATTACTATCCTCATTGTTTATGTTGATGACATAATTGTCACTGGTAATGATACCGAGGAGATAGCCTCTTTAAAAGAATGTTTAGCTGATCAGTTTGAACTAAAAGATCTTGGATCTCTCAAATACTTCCTTGGCATGGAAGTTGCTCGAAGTAAGGAAGGAATTTTCTTAACTCAGAAAAAATACATTCTAGACCTGTTGCAAGAAACAGGTATGCTTGGGTGCAAGCCAGCAGAGACTCCAATTGAAGCTAATATCAAGATGGGAGTTGAGGACGGGGAAGATGTTGATAAGGAGCAGTACCAGAGACTAGTGGGGAAATTAATCTATTTGTCTCACACTCGTCCTGATATTGCTTTTGCTGTGAGCATGGTTAGCCAATTCATGCATTCTCCTAAGGAAAAACACCTTAGTGCTGTTTATAGGATTCTCAAGTACCTCAAAAACACCTCTGGTCGAGGAATTCTCTTTAAAAAGGGGAACAAAAAAATGATTGAAGTTTATACAGATGCAGACTGGGCTGGCTCTGCAATGGACCGAAGATCTACTTCAGGATATTGTACTTATGTCTGGGAAAACCTTGTGACCTGGAGAAGTAAGAAACAAACTGTTGTTGCAAGAAGCAGTGCAGAAGCGGAATTTCGGGCTTTAGCCCATGGTATTTGTGAAGGAATTTGGTTAAGAAGGCTTCTGGAAGAGTTGAAGATCTCTTATTCCCTACCTATCAGATTATATTGTGATAATAAAGCTGCTATCAGCATTGCTCAAAATCCTGTCCATCATGACAGAACAAAACATGTGGAAGTCGATCGTCACTTTATCAAAGAAAAATTAGAAGACGGTAGTGTATGCTTGTCATATATACCTACCAAGGAACAAACGGCAGATATTCTCACCAAAGGTTTACTTAAGCCGACCTTTGAGGATTTGATCAGCAAGTTGGGAATGATCAATATATATCTCCTAACTTGAGGGGGAGTGTAGAATATTCTAGATTATCATTTATTACTTCCTTACTATCTGTTCCCTTATTCATTAATGTCTCTTGTTATTGTAAATAAGCCTCTTAGTTTACTGTTGCTATTTATTAGCATTGTTCTTTGTACTCAATATAAATAGGACCTATTGGGTCTCAATGAAAATCAATCAATAGTTTTATACAGCAAAACACTCTTTCTTTTTCATCAACACGTCTAAGGAGACATGTAGTCTTGTTACCGAAAGGTAATTCAACTTTCCAATCAAACTCGAAGGTCTTCAAGTCAAGAGGAAAAAGAGACTTTGATGAAATCTGTATGTCTTAAATACATAATGGAGTCAGGATAATATAGCCAGACACATATATCCCTACTATTCGTCTCAACATCCTGCATAGAACTCTGACTTCTCTTTGTTCTCCACTACTGATGTTTGGATCACGCCCAAAAGTATCCAGTATTCGGATCACGGCCTCCCTAAAGTCGGTCCATGTTGTGTTTGATGAGCAAAGCTCCCACTATTGGAACCAAGACAGTACTCTTCCCTCCAAAGCCATCATCGCCACCCCTTTGAGCACGAAATAACACTCAACCGGTTCACCCACCCATAGGTACCTTGAAAATAGAGAAATTTTCAATTTCCTCTCCATCTTTCTTCCCATCCCTCGGTTATTGTACTTCCATCCCCCATGTGACTCTCTCCGGAGGAGTTAGCTTGTTGTCCCTCACCATTGAGGTCTATGCGATTGCCCTTCAAGAATCTCCTCCATCCTCTGATAACGGGATTTGTGGGCTTCCCTCTCTCATCTTGCCTGTTGTCTGTCATCTTCCATCAGCTTCATCAATCTATCAAACCCTCTCTCTACCGAATCCAATTGTGTCCCCATTCTTGCAACAACCATGAATGAATTCTGTATTCAAAAGCTCTGATACCAGTGGTAAGAACTGGAACCAAGATTGGAAGATTATCAAGAAAGAAATGGAATCTTGTTACGGTAGTCAGGAATCTTGTTACGGTGGCCCTTCAAGAATCTCCTCCATCCTCTGATAACGGGATTTGCGGGCTTCCCTCTCTCATCTTGCCTGTTGTCTACCATCCTCCATCAGCTTCAACAATCTATCAAATCCTCTCTCTACCGAATCCGATTGTGTCTCCATTCTTGCAACAACCATGAATGAACTGTGTCTCAGTGGTAAGAACTGGAACCAAGATTGGAAGATTATCAAGAAAGAAATGGAATCTTGTTACGGTAGCCTCTTCCTCAGGATCTGAATCAAGGTCCTAGAAGATAGATATTGGTAGAAAATTTAAAATGGAGGAGGCCCCCCCCCCCCCCCCCCCCCCCCCCCCCCCCCCCCCCCCCCCCCCCCCCCCCCCCCCCACCCCCCCAAAAGTCTCTCTCTCTCTCTCTCTCTCTCTCTCTCTCTACTCGAGGGGATTGGGATCCTTGGCCCTCAACTTCTGTTCTAGCCTATCTTCTCTTTTCCCATTCCCTTTTATACTCCCTCCTCCACCTTCCCAACTAACTAACACTCTTAATTCTGTTGGAGACACTCCAACTAATTAACTGTCGTGACTAACTAATCTATCATGCTAACTAATTAACTTTCACTCATCCTAAGTCCGTCACTCTTCCTTCTAACGTATGTTTTGGTGATTGGAGGTTTGCTAAAAGATTGCTACTCTCCAAACTTCTGACATATCTCTTATTTCTTTGCTTCTTTTTGGGTTACGGTTAGTAGTCTTAATTGTATTAATGGACTTCGGCTTAGGCTTTTACTAGTGATATTATAATTACACCAGTACTTGACTTAATTATTATAATAATAAGACCTATTGGTTAGTATTTTGTGTCAAATATCAACATATCTATTTCATATTCATCTAATATTATTAAGATCATCCTTCCTCACTTTTCCTACCTCTGTATGCACATATCGTATAACTTCTACTGTATATACTTGCACATTGACCTGCTATTTTTCTTGCAGATGTTCACAAATGTCAAGGCTCAAATTTTGGCTTCATATGTAAGTCCAAAGCTATCTACGAATTTTATTGTTCTCCAGCATATCATATCACCTAAATTAGCAGTATTATGGCTCCCCTCAATTAGAATTAATGACATGTCTTGTGTTAATTTGGTCATAAATGTAATAAATTGATCTCTCTTAGGCCTCTTAACCAGTCTTGTATCTTGTACTCTGGCCACATTTTTAAGACATTCTACTCACAATAGAAATAGCAATAGTTTAAACCATTAGAAGTGGGCAAGTGGTGAGGGGCTTTGGTAGTTGGAACGAGATTATAGGTTTGAACTTCAAAGCCACCATTATATTTAAAAAACAAAGAAGTAGCATTAATCTCAAGTGTTAAAATCTTAATTTTCCTTTAATCATTGTGCAGCCACCAGACCAACAGCAGCGGCTTTCTTTGTGCTTTGACAAGCTTATGGCAGATGTGACGCTCAGCTTGGATGGGAAAAATAGGGACAAATTCTCTCAGAACCTGACCAGATTGAAGTCTGACTTTTGTGGCAAATAGCATCTTCTTGGCAGAATAATTTTGTTTTTCTTCCTCATATGTGGTAGGGGTGTCTGATTTGGAATCCTGTACATTTACAATGATTCTGTTTTAGTGGGGGATTTTTTTTTTTTTTCCGGTGGGGCTTGATGAAAGTTCTGCTGGCATGTTGACATGCCTTTAATAGAAAAGCAGGGAGAGATTATAGCAACTCGGAGTTAAACAGGCATATTGAGATGAAGTGAGGGTGAGATGGCTTGCTGGAAAGCTCTTAACCCTTTTTTTTTCTCTCCCCATTTAAACTAGCTGAAAAATTGCCAAATTGGAATGGAATTTGTAAATTTTAGGTATTTAGTTGACAATATATGATATTTTTTGTTAATGCTTCGACATTGTCTTTCTCGCGTTACATTTCCATGCCTCAAATCCTTGAGTTGATTGGTATTGAAGAGGTAGTGATGGAGAAAAACAGGAAAGAGAAATTCAATAATCGAAATTGATATTGATTTAATGTGATAAGATGTTATATAAATTATAAAACATTAAACTATATTGATATGGATTTTATACCTTTAATTCCAATTAAATGAGGAAATAAATAATAAAATTAATAAAATATAAAAATCACTGTTAAAGAAAATATTTTCTAAAACATTGTGAAATATTTTTTTGAAGTATTTTAACAATTTTTTTTTGTAAATTACTTGCTTTTTTTTTTATCACTTATTCTCTTATGTTTTTTTTCTATCAGAAATACACCTTTGTCCTTTTACAATAATTTTTAATACATTCCTTTCTTTAAATAATTAATCTACTTTTGCAAAGCTGAAAACATAAAGCTTGTGATTTCATGTCAACTATTTTGAAAACATAAAGATGTAAATGAACAACTATTTCATATCAAATTAATAGATCTATAAATCTGGTTTCATATCAACTGTTTTGAAAACATAAAGATACAAGTGAGCAATTATTTCACATCAAACACAGCTATAAATCGGCTTTAAAAAGTATAGTTTGGTGACAAATATTTAAAATGAACCTTACACTAGTTTTATGTTTAACTAGTTTCATAATAATAATAAGGGTAAAATCTTATTGATATAGCATATTTGAAGAATTGAGCAATATAATAAAAGTTACTTTAATGGACAATAGTTTCAACCGCCCAACCAAGAATCGATGATTATATCAATATTGCATATTTAATGTACCAATTCTAATCAATAACAAAGCTAAATTTTGATAGAACAATAATGGATTATTATCACTTATGCTGTGCACAACGAAAAGACGGAAGGAAAATGCTATCTTATGAGCGCTTAATTGAAAATTTTGAAAATTTAATCCTATATCAATTTAAATATATAACAACAGTGCAAAACCAAGTTTGACAAGCTTTATATTCAAGTATTTACAAAGCCATGAATTTAAATCAATTTTTTTCAAAACTGGAGAAATTTCGTTGAAACATTAGAAACCCTTGCAAAGCTTAGGGGGACAAGATGATACGCACGTATTTTTATAAGAAGGGTAAAATAGACAGATTAATTAAGTTTTTAACGGTATTAAGGATGCACTTAGATGGAAAAAAAAAATATAAGGGATAAACGATAAAAAAAATATAACGAGATAAGTGATTCAAAGGGGGATCACCGGGGTATTTGAACTTTTTCAATTAAAAAATAATAGTGGTGATAAAGATATGGCTAGTGTGAGTTGTGGTTTAAAAAGATGACGGATAAAGAATAGCGATGATAATTCATGTTAGCGGGTCAGGTTCATAGTGGATCAAGATTGGATACAAATATTACATTTGACACGCGTACAATATGAATAAAAATTCGTGTCAAAACTTGTGATACAAATATTATTCTACTTTACATGACTAACCTATTAACCTCATAATATCTGGCTTAATATGCAGATTGACACGACTGATACAAATACCTTGTTAGTCTCAAAATTTCTCTCTTTTTATGCATGCTAACACGACAGAAATAACTTATATACCGAATATCACTTTCACCAATATTGACATAACACTAACACCTTGGAAGAAGATTACCGAATGCTTGGAAGGTCTGCCAGTACCCTCCCTTGAGGCATAAAAACCCAAGTAAAGCATGCAGGCGAAGTGGTGGCTCCATACGGCTTGATATAGAATGAAGAAAGAAGGTTAATTGGTTGGCAAAGCAAGAGGAGATCAAAAGACATAAAGACCCCTCTTGAGCGAAAGACATAGACTCAAGAGCTCAAGACAATATGAGCATCTTCAGACTTAAGACACTGTTAATGTATTAAGGCATAGTGGGGCTTTGGTGTTGCGTTTGTAAGTTGACATGTAACATGTCACAAATTTTTTTACATCAGTTTTTTGTCGACACAAACACAAACATGTCACAAATTTTTTTACATCAGTTTTTTGTCAACACAAATACAATACGAATTTGAGTTAACCAGTTTAAGCATGCGTGTTGAAAATTGTCAATCGAGAAAAAAGTTATTGCTCGAATGATTCCCAATGGACTATCAAATTGATTCTAGAGTAAGAAAAGATGTAATATTATTATGTCAATCTCTCCTTCAAAACAATGACAAGAGATAACCATAACAAAAGAAATGTCAAGAAATAGTTCAAAAACATCAAAACAAACATAGAGAAACCATAAAATGTCTAACCACGAATAGGAAAAAAAATGTGGCCGAAGGGGCAATATGTGATATAAAGGCTAGTTGGGTACAGTTTGTTAACTGTGTGTGCACTTAATATATCATGTTCATAAATCATGAAATAGTAACATGATAAAGGATCTTGGGAAAATATTATTTTCCCATATACCAAGGATAAAGACATACCAGGAAACATGAAACGATGATGAGGGAATAACATCGGTCATCTCTTTCGCCATCTCTTTTGTAGCAGTGTTAGGGTGATTTCTCTCAGGGCCTTCTTTTCTATTATGTGTTTTTCTAATGGAGGAATAACACTTTTGTGTGAAGGGGAGAGATGACCAACCCTAATATATATTCAATTGTCTTTAATCTGGTATGTTCATCATATAATAGATCAATGCTTGAGATCAAATGCATCAACATTGTAACCGTAATGATTATTGCTTCTATAATTAAAAGCATTAATCTTATAACCATTGATTATTAATTAGGCTACATCAATAGTCATGACTCATGATATTTCTATCATGTGGGCGTTACATTTCTAACATTCTCCCACTTGGCCCGATCAATCATAATATGCATGTTCAATACATCTTTCGCATTGACCATCATAAAATGATATATTGTCAAATGTGACTTATGGTGGTAGTGCATTATTAATTCAACGCATTCTCTTCCATATACTACAACATCAACAATCCATCATATAACATTTATAATATATAGCGAACATAATGGTCCACATAATGTCGTATAAAGACTTCCTTGTTAAAATTAATAATGCGTATACAATTATAAAATAACAAGGAAACATAATGTATGTCAGAAATACATAACGTGAGTTCAGAGTGTCACACATTAATAATCTTTAATACAACCAAGGCCATACTTTCAACATGTTCTTTAAATAGCTTTGGTTGTAACCCTTTCGTCAAAGGGTTTGTCATCATGTGTTCAATTCTGAAGTGCATAATTGACACTCTTTGTTTCTGAACTTCCACTTCAATGGCAAAATACTTTAGCTCTATATGTTTGGCACCTTTAGAGTATCTATCGTTCTTAGATAAGAATACTGCTGCAGAATTATCACAGTAAATTTTTAATAGCATGCTAATGGTGTCGACAATCGTAAGTACCGAAATAAAGTTTCACAACCATAATGCATGAATTGTGACTTCAAAACATGCCACAAATTCTGCCTCTATAGTGGATGAAACAACAATAGTCTGTTTTGCACTTTTCCATGATATAGCTCCTTGAGCAAACATAAACAAGTAGCCAAAAGTTAACTTTCTACTATCAAGACATCCACCAAAATTTGAATCCACATATCCAATCATTTCCAATTCATGGGACCTTTTGTACATGAGCAAGTAATCATTCGTTCCTTTAAGGTACCTTAAATGTAATACCCGAGGATAAATAGTAATTTATAATAATAATTTATAAATTAGTAGCAATAATAATAATAATGTGTGTGTATATATATATATATTAGGACTAATAATAAATTATGATAATAATTATTTGAATTATTAATTGATTGGTCATATATATTAATATATGCATTTAATGGTATTATCATTTGATTGGTAATGTGAATAATTATTTTGGTAATGATTAAGGTATATTAATGATAAATTATGATAACCAGTAGTAATAAAACATAATAATAGGATTTAACCCTATACATATCATAACATTAAATGCATTGGATTAGGATGAGTCAGCATACTTTATTTGATTAGATTAGATCTATGAGTCAGAAATGTCCTAGCCAATAAAAGAAAATAAATTCTACGAAGCCCATCTCTTGAGCCCAAAACGTCAGCTATAAATAGGAGCTTAGCCTAAGCAAATCAAATCACTTCCAATCCATTGTATTCCTCTTCTCTCCTTCTCATCTTCTCCTCTTCTTTTCTTTCTTCTTATTTCAAATTTTTATTTTTATTTTATTATTATTTTCTTTGGCTACCAATTGCGCTTCTCTGCTCTAATTTTTTTTCCTCCTATAAGTCACCAAATATGGAGTCCAGATAATCCTAATCCCTAGAGAGTCATAAGCTAGCTTTATGGATCTTGTTTTATGTATTCTAGATGCTTAGGAAATCTTAGGATAGTTTTATTCGAAATTTATTTTAAAGATATTATAGGATAATTATATTATTGCGAATTTTATTGGGTTTAATTTATACATCTAGAAAATAATTGAATTATTTATATAATTATAGGTTGTTTTATTTGAAATTTGTTACAAGTAAATTTTAATCCTTAGGAACTCTCGGGTCTACCATTGTTCTCTTCCCACTAAATGAACTTAATAAAGATAAATATGATGAATAATGGAATTGATATTTTATTTGATTATTTGAGTTATATTGATTGTATTTTGGATTTGGATTACCAGCATTTGTTGATTTTTGTGTTTATTTCTTTGTGCTGCAATGATCCTACGAGGGAGCAGATTGTGAAGCAGGTTTCAAAGGTTGGAGCTATAGCAATGAGCAGTGGGAATAATGACTCAGACATTTCAAGATAAGTCTAGGATTTAATAAATGTATGAGATATATTTAGATTTTGGATTTACAAATTTTAAAGTTTTAAATATTTACATTGAATATATTTTGGTATAAGATTATGATAAAGTTACCAAATGGTGGTAGCTCAGTTAGTGCATGAGAGC